GTTCAAATCTTGTCCATGGTTGATTGCTTTATTTGATACCTTTCTAAAAAGCTTTTTGCAAATGACTGCTTTGGGACATTTGTTAAACAAGTTTTCTTACTTATAAGATACATATTTTGTTTTTTTTTAAGAGAGATTTTTGCTATAAGGAGTGTGTGCTTGCCAGAGAGACAAAGAAAAAGCAACAGAAAGTGAGAAGTCATCCCCCAAGGGGATGGTCATGACACAATCCCTTCTCTATTCTCCTCTCAGGATCTTGGGCATGCAAGACATGGGCCCAGTGAGTTTTAAGTCACCAGGTCTGGAACTTGAACTATGACCAGCTACATGGGAGTCCAGTGACGTAACCATTATGCCATCCACTGGTCCCATAGATACCTACTTGTAAGCTGCTGGTGAATGCTGAAAGTTTAAGTTGCTAAAAGTTAAAAATTCTGGTTAATATGTATTGTCTTTGTATATAAATTTATGAGCTGATGACCCTTACACGGGTGTCAGATTCCCCAGGGAAAAAGTAAATGCAGGGACTCACTAAAGTCTCTTCAAAGGCCCCACCACTGGAGAGCAGCACAGGGCCAGTATAGACTGACCTGTCACCTTCACCCAAGGCAGACACTCAGGCAGCCCTACAGTCAAAGTCCCAGGGCTAACTTCAGGCTTCAGTCTACAATACTAGAGACTAAGGGAACTCCTGTCCAAGGGCCCGAGGAAGCAAAAATCAAAGCACAGGGTAAGACAGTTAAGGCCACAGCCCCTGCTGCCTTCTCCTCTCCAGCCTTCAGCACTCTCCCTGCTTTCTCTTCAGTCTAACCACTGTCCCTTAGGACTCTCCCCTCACTGTTCTCAGAACTGGATATAGGTCAGCACCCACACCACACAGTCCCAGGGTAACTTATGTGACCGGGAGATTTAACAGAAAGCAAAAGCTTAAATTATGACTTTATTCTCCAACTATTGCTCTTTTATAGCCAACAAGACATATTCTCTTTATAAAACTTAGAAACTGGGCTCCACCATCCGGGTGATACTCACCTGGTCATTACACAACATGAAGAAACTAACAAAATCTCTCACAGATTAGAGCAGATCTAGGAAAACTTTATGGATAACTTAGAAAAGTACTATAATAAACTGGCAATTTACCTTAACCTTTTATTTTTTTTGAGAGGTTTTTGCTATAGGGCGCGTGCGCTCGCCAGACAGATAGAGACAGAGAGACAGAAAGCAGGAAATCACCCCCCGGGGGAGGGGTGGCCACGCCGCAATCCCTTCTCCTCCATTCTCCTCTCTGGATCTTGGGCACGCACGCACATGCACCCGGCATGAGTTTAAGC